TCCCGTATCTCATCGATGGCCCCGTCAAGCTGACCCAGAGCAACGCGATCCTGCGCTACATCGCCCGCAAGCACAACATGTGTGAGTGGGGGGACCGGGGGGGGTCGCAGCACCCACCAGGGTCCCAGGGGGTCTTTTTTTTTTCGGGGGGGGGATAACACGTCCTGGTGCCACAGGCGGCGAGACGGAGGAGGAGAAGCAGTGCGTGGATGTGCTGGAAAACCAGCTCATGGATTTCAGGATGGAGTTTGCCCGGCTCTGCTACAACCCCGACTTCGTGAGTACCCCCAGGGGGGTGGGGGGCACGAGGCTGTCCCCCCACGTGGGACAAGGAGACCGAGCCACCAGCGGCGTGGGGGCGTCTGTTGGGGTGCATCCTTTGACCCCATTCCCGTGTTCTCATCCCCAATTCCCATTCCCACTCCCCCCTCTCTGCCCGGGGGTGCTGCCCTGGTTCTGTGGGGTCCAGATGTGTTCTGTGGGGTCTGGGAGTGTTCTGTGGGGCCCGGGGGTGTTCTGTGGGGTCTGGGGATGTTCTGTGGGGTCTGGGGGTGTTCTGTGAGGTCTGGGTGGTGTTTCAGCCCCCCCAACCGTCCCCCCTGCAGGAGAAGCTGAAGGCGGGATACCTGGAGCAGCTTCCCAAGAAGCTCCAGGAGTTCTCGCGCTTCCTGGGCTCCCGCACCTGGTTCGCGGGGGACAAGGTGAGTACAGGGGGCTCTGGGAGGCTTCTTTGGGGGTCCCTGTGGGGTCTGACCACCCCCTTTCCCCCAGCTGACCTTCGTGGACTTCCTGGCGTACGATGTGCTGGACCAGCACCGCATGTTCGTGCCCAACAGCCCCGAATTCCAGGGAAACCTGGGCAGCTTCCTGCAGCGCTTCGAGGTGAGGGGGGACAGCCCCGGGAACAGCCCGGTGTCCCCAGTGCCCCCTGGTGGCCCTGTCCCCATCCCAGAGACCCCCCGGTGTCCCCAACCCTGACATCCCCCAGTGCCCCCATCCCAGATACCCCAATGTCCCCCAGTGTCCCCATCACTGACCCTGTCATTGCTCTGTCCCTATTCTGGACACGTCTGTGTACCCATCCCCATCCCCTACACTCTGGTGTCCCTGTCCCCATCTGTCCCTGTGCCCTTTATCCCCACGCCTCTCCCCTTTATCCCCATTCCTTCCCCCTTTTTCCCCATTTCTGTCCCCTTTGTCCCCATCCCTCTCACCACATCTCCCTGGTGTTTCCAGCCCCGTCCCTGTGTCCCCATCCCTGTCCCGTGTCCCCATTGCTTTCCCCACGTGTCCCAGTCCCCTCCCCATCCCTGCTGTCTCCCCAATGTCCCCCCGTGTCCCCCCAGGCCCTGCCCAAGATCTCCTCCTACATGAAGTCCCCACGGTTCATTAAAGGGCCCTTTTTCTACCGCACGGCCAAGTGGAGCAACACCAAGGAGTGAGGGGAGAGCCCCCCGAGCCCCCAAACTCACCCTGTGCCCCCCAACTCACCCCACCCCGAATAAATCGTGTGTGCTCTGCCCTGTCCGTCTGATTTGTGGCTTCACTGTAGGACTGCGGGGACCCCCCGTTTGTGGGGTGACCCCCGCGGGGGTGGGGGGGCTGTTGGACCCTCCTGGATTATGGGATGGGGGGGGGGGCTTCTCTCTGCACCCCCAGGATAAGGGAGACCCCCTGAGTGTCTGTGCCCCCCCAGCATAACGAGACCCCTCCTTAGGGAGTCGAAAGGGGGACCCCCCTGCAGCTTGAGGGGGGGCACAGAGGGATTCGTGGCCCCCCGGGATAAGGGGGACCCCGTGGGAGCCGCCAGGACAGGGGGGTCCCGTGGGATGGGGAACTGCAGAGCCCGCTGTTAAGGGGGTCCCCATGGAACTGAGGGGGTCGCAGAGCCCCCAGGACAAACGGGGGGGTCCCCGGACCGGGGTCCCTTCCACTCGCCCCGCCCCCTCTAGACCCGCCCCTAGGGGCGTGACCGTGGGGCTGTCACGTGGCGTGGGCGTGGTCGTAGTCACGAGTGGCGGCCATGGCGGTGTTGGGGTACTGGGACATCCGCGGGGTGAGCGGGGGGTCCTCGGCGGGAGACCCCGGCACGGGGAGGGGGCTCAGGGACCACCCACGGCCTTTGGGGGCGCCGGGGGGGCCCTTTGTTCTTTGGGGGGGCTGTGGGAGGTTTTCGGGGGCTCCCCCCGTGTTTTGGGGGGGCTTCGGGGGAGCTTCAGGGATTCTCTTGGTCCTTTGGGAGGCTACGG